ATATTAATTATGTAACGAATTTACTTTATTAATAAAGATCGTGAGAAATGCCTCACTTAACAGTAAAAAAAAAAAAACTAGATAATGATAATTTTAAAATCTTGCGTAATGAAAAAATATTTGGTCGTTCTTTCTCAAGACCACAAAAACAGAATTTTGTAGTTATAATTTGAAGGGTGGACCAGCAACTATTCTTGTTAATTTTATCGAAGAGATATCAAAACAAAAATTAAGTGGGTTTTCAATATATAAGATACTGAAAGAACTAAAAGATGTGCTCTGCAAATATAAAGTCAATAGGAAAGATATAACGAACATCACGCAATTCAATTCATGTATGTGGTATTTTTCTTGATATTATTTGGGCAAACCAAGTTTGCTGAAATTTCTTGGCAAAGTGATCGAATATAGGCTAACATTTTTTCATAATAGTTTCAGAGAAAATAGATGAGAATGATAAAGCTCTTGAACAGTGTATGAACGAAATAAATCAACGATAGAGGCTAATGAAGCAATGCGTTGCAAATTTATTTCATTTGTATTACATGCATCAATATCAATTGCGAGAAGAATGACTAATAAAGAAATCCATATAGAATTGCAGAGGGATATTTCAGGTGAAGAAGCATCCAGAAGAGTTGATTACGCTATAACTGGAATGGAGGATCTTTTGTGTATCACTGAAGGAAAACCACGAAATGTTAAGATTGGTTACCTTCAAAATATAAAACAACTCGAGAGTTCCTTCCACATGAACAAGAAGAAGTAAACTGCGGACGAAGCATTTAAGGCCAAGGGTTATGACTATCTAAATGGGATTGTGTTGACTGGTATGAGAAAAATTTTCTATTATGAAACGGATTCATAGGGCAACTCTTTTAATGATCTTCATTCTGGCTTTGCTAATCATTTGATTTATTTTTAGGTGCGGATTGGCATTTTATCATGTTCACTTCTGAAGGAATTTTTTGTACTAGTAATAGTGAATATCAAATAAATCTTAAGAAAAAAGCGTTCAAGGGAAATCAGGAAAGTCTGAGGGAAGATATAAAACAGGTAATCAGTATAATCGTAGGGTTATTGAAAGATAGGGTGTTAGCATGTGATGAACTTGAAATTAAGAAGCGACACTTACAAGAAAAAATTACTAAGAAATAGTGAGTATATAGCACCTGCTTCACATGTATTTTTTATTGTATTGGTGTGAGCAAGCCTTCAGTTAATAAAGCAATCAAGCACAAATGGTCTTTTTTCCGATAATAATTTTTATGTGTAATATTTTCCTCCGAATTTATTTTGGCGTTTACACTTCCTGAACTAAGTTCTGTGATTTTTATCATGTGATTTATATATCTACAATAAAGAATTGAATGTACCCGCACCTTATATAAAACGATGGCAGATACACAATATACAATTGTTTCGCTAAGAGAATTAAATACTAAGCTTACAGTAGAGATTAGCGAACTAAGAAAAAAGTATGCCGAGCTTGAAGCTAATAATATCGAAGTCGAAGCCGAGAATGCAAAATTAAAACAAGACAAAGAAGAATTTGAAACCAGATTCTTGAATCAGAGCAGAGAGATAGGGAAAAAACTGATCTTATCGCTAAACTGAAACATGATGTCTCACTAATCAAGGAGCAGAGCTTGCAAAACAGGGGTAATGGATATACTGATAACACATTTGATGATGCAGAGTATGATTCTTCTGTATCCCCTGAAACTAGTGAACAGATAAACTTACGATGTGAAGACACTCCTGCATCTGATATAACTGATGATACTTCAAATTCCGACATATGTCAGAGGACAAAGACTCAGCTGGAGGTTAGTTCACGTCAATGCTCCACATCACCAATTTGTATAGAAAAAAAATCTTCAGAAAATAAAGTGATCGATGAATTTCTAGACCTAAAAGAAAAGGAAAGGGTTGGTAATATAATAAGAGAGAAAAATAGAGAAAAGAAGCTTGGATCTCAAGATCCTTTATTATATTATAAAGATATTTCACAATATAATAAAAACAAAGTACAGAAATTCATGGTAGAAGTTTCTGAAAACTCTAGTTCGTCTATTAATAATAGCAATGCAGACAGTAATGTGATACCTACAACCCTGAATGAAACAGAAGAGTCAAAGACTCAATGCTTCACATCATCTCAACCCAGCAATATTAGCTTGGCATTTTATACAAAAACTTTGTAATGCTATAATTCTCGCTGACTGTAAAACATAAGAAGAAATCTTTTGCTATTTTAATTTTGATAAAGCTCTCATTCAAAGACGTAGTGGGTTGGCATCAGAAAAACAACTTGATCCGGAATCTAATGCAGTTAATAGAATTTTAAATAAGGAAGTTCGCGCTCAGCACCTTGCAAATATTTCTGACGCGCTTTTATGGAAGAGAATCGAAAAGGCTAAAAGGCTCAACGAACTTTTCAGTGTAATAGATATGGATAAATTTTATCGAATACATTCCTTTTCTGCTGATAGTATCTCGAAAATGACAAACAAAGATATTCAATATATAATATATAACGTAACATTTGACTATAGTATTAAGATAGAACCCACCCTAAAATCCGAATTCCCTGAACCGAGTTCAGGAAGT